CTGACTTCAAAGCCCAGGCATGCTCTCTCCACTAACTACCATATTTTGCTTAGCCAGCATCTATGAAGGCTTTATCATATATGGTATGCTTATTTGCCACTTTTCTATAGGCTTGACAATTTGCAAAATAAAGTTATAGGAACAAAAAAGTCCATTTCTCTTTGTGTACAGTGCAAGTTTCTCTAGTGTTCATGTGTAGAGACCCAGCTGCTGAATCAAAAAGGTGTACACTCACACCTGCAACTACCTACCATGTGGTGAACTACTCCTTTGCATTTCTACCATCAGCTCTTGTTGTTCCACCTCCCCTCATAATCTGGTGTTGCCAGCCTTTGGTGTTTTACTAACATGTAGATTATACGACAAGAAGTAGAATCTAATTATGATTTAATTTCACCTCTTTGTTAAAGAAGTTGAGACTTTTATGATTATTGGCTATTTTTACTTCTTTAGTCAAGAGTCTATTTAAATTGCTTTCTCTATTTTTCTCAGAATGGATTATCTTTTATTTATTTAAATATTGGTATATAGGGGCTGGGGATATAGCTCAATTGGTAGAGTGCTTACCTTACATGCACAAGGCCCTGGGTTCAATCCCTAGCATCCCCTCCCCCCAAAATTGGTATATATTCTATATAACTAATACTTTCTCAATTATACATAAAAATATATTCTTTTATTGTGTGCCTATTTGTCTTTTTACATATCTTTTGACTATGAGAGGTTTCTAACTTTATCAGCCAAATACATAAATTTTGACTACAGATTTCTTTTTTATCATAGAAGAAAACATTCAATGCCCTAAAGTCATGGAGATGTGTGCATGTATACATACATATATATTTAAAGCATGTGTGTTTGTGTGTGTGTGTGTGTGTGTGTGTGTGCGCGTGCACTTTAAAGTTCTATCTTTCACATTTATGCTGGTATCCATCTGGAGTTTTTGCATATAGCCTGTGATAGGCATCCGATTTCTTTCTTTCTTTCTTTTTTTAACCTTTGTTTTATTTGTTTATTTATTTATTTTTTATGTGATGCCTGAGAATGGAACCCAGTGCCTTGAGCATGCGAGGCAAGCGCTCTACCACAGAGCCACAACCCCGCCCCCCCCGTCGGATTTCTACTTTCTTTCTTTTACTGTGTGTGTGTAGGGGGGCGGGGATGGTCCCTGGACATGGATATTTGATGGTTCTAGCACCTTGAATTGAAAAGACTGCTTCTTCACATTACTCTGGAATACCACAGCTGTCATAAAGGATTCACCACATGGAGAATCTGTTAAGGATCTGGTCTTTCATTTCTGTCCCATGAGTCTATTTGTATGTGTGCCAGGATGACACTGCTTTTTAAATAAGTCTTGGGATCTGGTAGATCAAGTCTT